ACAAGCCCACTGTTTGGTTCAATGTTTGGTTCAAAGTTAGCCATTAGCCGATTAACAAAATGGTACATTTAGCAGCTAAAGAGCCATATATATTTTTCTCAGGAGTTGGTTGAGATTTAAACATGGCTATAAGTAGAGTGAATATTGACTCTATGATTGGCATATGAAAACAAAATCCAAATTAAACGTAGCTCTGTGTAAATGTGTAAATGAAGCCATAATATGTTGAACATGTGCTTGATGATTGGTGATTAATGTTGTTTTAAGTTACTTCCATCTTTGGCTTTGGCTGCGTACGCCCTAGCTGTAATAGCACTGGTCTCCAATGCATTATGTTATTAACTAACTCACAAGTAATTTGCATTACTGGATGCTTGTAGTTAATCAATTGCTTCCTTATATTCACTGGCAAAGTTTTGTTCTGAGGCAGGAAGTGTGACAGTCCTATAACACAGCGATGATGTAGGGGATGATAGCGAGGTGTAGCGTCCTCAGAGGATTGTTTGTTTTCTTTTAATGGAGCCTATGTAGAGAATAACACCATATTGTCTTCCCTGTAAAACAAAGGCAGTTATTGCAGTATCACCTCCCTTGGTGAGAGGAGAAATGGTATGTCATTCGTGGAGATGGAGATTAATGGCTGTTTAAAATGTTTCTGAAGAATGGAAGCGAAGTGAGAGAAGAGGACATCTGGGCTATGATTTGATCATGGCACCTAACCCTGTGAGTGCATTCCCATGTCCAACACCTTGAATTACAGCCCTCCGGGTCATTAGCAGAGCTACTGCGGTGTGTTTGAATTGGAAATCTATTCATCTGCTTTTCTCATATTGATTTGTGGTGGCTGTGCCCCCCTCGCCTCCCCCTACTCTTCTTCTCTTTCAGCAGCAAAATACTGTTACTGATCAGTAACAGTACAGCAAGCAATCTGGTGAGCCTCAACAGTACTTTGTAAGCCCCTTTGGCTCTCATAAACTCCCTCTCTTTCTCTACTTGTGTGGCAACCGAACTTCACACACGGAGGGAACAAAGCACCATCATTCGTCTGCGTCAACACATCTCGGTGCTGGCAGTAGGCTGCTCCGCCATGCTTCAGTGCACAGTGAGTGTAGAGAGGCTCAGAGCCATTTCCAGCCATCTCAGAGAGTGTAACAGAGACTCACTCTCAATACTGAGACTATAAATGGAGCTGCCTTGCTTCTCTTGCCCACTGCAGTCACCTCCTTTTAAACACAGTTCTTCTATCTAAAATCTCAGGATGATGATAGTAGCGCTTTCTGCTACCTGCCAGCTCTTCATTATTAAAAGCTTTATCAGAGGCTTTGACCTGATGTATTTGCTTGTAGGTAAGGTGCAATCACATTATTTTCACCAACAACATTGGTTACTACTTTTACTGCTAATATAACTACAGGTTCTGGTGAACATGGAAAGCCTCTGTAACTCTGTAGATTACAGGTTGGAAATAATGCTAATTTAGTAGTCAATGATGGCTTGAGATCAAGTTTCTCATATTAGTAAAATGTTGGTATTTACAAGACAGGTAGTTTTGTTAGCCGGTAAGTTTCCACCCAAAGTAGATCTGTATGCAATTAGCTACAATAGTGAATCAAAGAGGCTTATGTTTGTCTTCACTGTTGCTCAGACTCAGACAAATAATTTCTGTTAGATTGTAGTTCATTTATAATTTTTTGGAGGCTCCTGCTTCCTATCATGATGTAGAATAATCAGAATGGACACAGCTATTAGAATAAGTAATAAGTAACAATAAGTTGAAAATACCAGGGTATTACTTTAATACAGCATTTCAATTTTACTTAAAAAGCGTATTCCTGCTTTCCTGATTGAGCCACTCAGCAAACCAAAAGGCTTACTGATTGTAGCTACCCTCTCTATGATAGCTTTATGACACAATATCAATCCCTATGCAGATGACACCCAGAATTATATTCCTGTCTCTCGAGATGTCCCTTCCCACTTCTTTAAACTCTTGGTCTTGGTTGTCCAAACCATTTACTTCTAAATGCATAAAAAACTGAAAACTTGCTTGTTGGTCACATGATATATACCCCGACACTGACAGGTCAAGTGAGTAACACTGATTATCTGGTTATCATGGCACCTGTCAGCGGGTGGGATGGCAGCAAGTGAACATTTTGT